AAATTATTTTTTTCAAGATGGGTATATGCGGGAAGGTTAAAGATTTCCAATTAAATTTATTTTTCTATCACTTAACGATTGTACTAAAAACAAAAACTAAAAAATGTGATAAAGAATTATTTGATGATCATCTCTGCCATTATTATAATTGCATCTCTGATCATAATCACAGTATCTTATCTCCTTAGTAAACTAAATATGGAACGTTTCGGTCTTTATGCGTACTATTGTACTAAGTGTTATTGTATTATCAAACAGAATATTTACTATAAACACTCCGCCGTGCAAAACTCATTATTATGCACCGTTTGCGATTGTTATGTTCTTTCAGAAATCATCGAGTATTTTAAAATAATGTTTATTTAACACGTTCAATATCGGAAAATGTGTAGTGTTTAGTCAACACGACAGACAAGAATAACACATCTACACGGAAAACAAACACTTTGAGCTTTGAAGATGATCTCAATAGAGATCGAAACGTTGGAACGATAAAGAAAATGTTTTTCTAAAACCTACGTCACACCAGACCGCATCTCACGACCTCCGAATAATCAGATCGGAAAATGTTATAATAGCTCGTCACCTTGCTACTGTTTCTAAATCTACGTTAGACATTTTATCTATAAAGTCCAACATTTTTATCCTACTAGTACAACTTTGTTCTTAACCATGGTCTAGCAAGCCACTTGGCGTTAAGCAACCCACAAATGATTTAGGTCGCTATTCTAAATAAAATGTCCATTCATTCCTTTATTTCGCCAAACAATTTTGTTTAGGCTGAACCTTGCTTTAACTTGATGATGACCTAATCGACTTCTGGAGAAGATAAGAAGGTCGTTTTGTACGCTGTTGTTCCTAACGTTTATCAACTTGTCAAGCGTAAGCCCTGTGAATGAAGACCTTCTTATGATAGTTAGTTTTCTCATTTCTATTCTGAAACGTCATCAGCCACATTTGAATTCAGTGCTTTGTCAGAAAACCCCGAGAAATCTAAAAGCGGTTGGAGTGGGAAGGAAATAAAATAGTACCCCCAGGGACGGCGTATTGGTTATACATCACACCAAAGGACTTATGATGATAATGTATACTAGGAAGTTGGGTTTGTACTCCCCAGGAACTGCATTGACTTTCGCTACTACCATTTATTTTGTATCCTAGGTTGTCTCCATTCATTCGTTGCTTCGCATTCCAAGATATGTTTTTCCTCCTCTTATAATTCTCATCCTCCGCATAATCTGCAAATAAGATCGTCGTTGAATATGCCCATGTTTTGTAGATGTTTTTTTGAGATGCTTGACAGGTCTTATCACTCCTCTGAGTCTGGCCAATTGCAGAATAAATTTGCCAGTCTTAGTGAGGGTTGACCAACTGTTTCTGTGAAAAATGAGAACAAAATGAAAAGTCAACTTTGACTGGACCTTCCAAGTGGTTTTAGACATCTGATATATTTGTAATAAAGGCAATTCTAAGTTTCAGTATGGTATCATCTCACTTAAACGAACAGATCTATGATTGCAAATGTTATCCTAGAAAAATACAAGAAAATAAAATGATCAGCTGGTATACAAACAGTGAGATAGTATAAAATAGTCAAATTTCTGATTCAGTTTAGAGTCCATCAATCTTCCATTCATCCATTGATTCAATGATGGAGGGATATCAAGTACTCCACGACCCTATTTGGGCATGCAAATTGGAACGAGTGTGAATAGGATCTGACTGCGTTGGAGGCCGAGATGACCTAGCTATTGATATGCCCTGGAGCTGAACCTTCGTGGATGGAAGGATAAGACCCAGGTCTGAACTCGGACTGCCAACACCGGAGGAGTGATTCTCAAGGCCGGCCGGTAATTTATTGTAAATCCAACAAATTGGTATCGCCGGGGGCTGCGAGAAATAATAAGTTATAGGCACAATTCAACACATGTGCGTGTATGTGCAGATTTAAGTGTAAATGAATCATTAATCAGTAATCAGCTGATCAAATATAAAAAAGAATTTCTGTAAATGGGCTTTGTTCCGCTTTGAAAATTGTTATATAACAACATATGTGTGCAATATTTTGAATTGATTTGGCCTTCTTTTGTTGTTATCTGACTCCATGTTTGAGGCGAAAACGGATTTCACTATTTCTTAAATAACAATATTTATCAATTATATGCTGCATATATTCTTTCTTTGTCTACTTTTTATCTTTGCCTGAATGGTTGTTCAGTTCCACCGTTTTTGACAATGTTAATCATCTAAAAATATGCTACAATGTTTTTGTATGGTAAAAAAAAGAAAATATACTAGGTCAAAGAAGAAACTGTTGTATTCAAGTAGTCGGCGGTGGCGCGGGTTGAGAATCAGTGACGAGTATTGTAGATTTTCGGTCATAGTTATAGCGAACAAAACTGAAAATCACAATCGTAGCCAAAATTATGCACACTATTTCCAAACAAATCATCGTAAAGCAAAGCCCGCCAAGGACGTCGTATTTTCTGCGTGCGCTTTCCAGTATAGCATCATAGCAAGCAACCTCATACGCTGTCGCATTATTACAGTCGTTTAAATAAATATTACAACAAGACGGTGGTAAGTGGTCAATTTTCCACTTATCAATGCCAAAAGCACTGCAGCACTCGAACATATCTTGGATAAACGTGATACTTTTGTTGTACTTGTCGATGTCGTTATACCAAATTTCCAATCGTTTCTTCAGTTCTGGTTGAACCAGTGGGTACAGTGCGAACGCCAACGCTCCTAAAATAATTTTCAGCAGCACCATTAAAATAAGAAGGGTGATATAAATCTGAAGATATTTCTTCTTTTTCATAATAATTCCCGCGGCGCCGAAGGTGGCGACTGTAACAATAATCAATGCTCCTACGATGACAAAGGCGCTCATAACCATTAGATAAGATTTGATCAGATTAATTAGATTTTCGCCGTAGACTAGATAAATTATTCCGATCAATAACAAATTCATGCCGAACACTGCGCACAAAAGGTTAATTGTTAGGAGAGTTAACCTAATTAGAAAAAATAGAGGTCTTCCGCACTGCATCTTGCCGTCTAATCTCAAAATTTAAACACATACACTAACAATTTTATGTGAATTTTTTTAACAAATTTATGCTACAAATAATTTCTACTAAAAATAAACTTACTCTAAGATTTAATTAATCATATGGGTTAAATATCTATCACAAATGGCCCATCATCGATTCGTATTATTATTTTCAGTAAAACATAACAATTTTAATTTCGTGCTTCTCTTTCGCCGAATATCGTAGATAAATAGTTAATAAAAAAAATATCGTTAAAATATATTTTACAACTTCTCTACTGCATTAATTTTTTTTGTATCAATGCAGTAAAAATATTCAATCCATTTTTATGAGTAGTAATGAAAGAATATACATTTATTACATCGAAGACAAAATTGATATTCTTAGTAGATAATACAACTACGTGTTACATTTCATTTAAAGTCTAAAGTATTGTCTTTTTTCGTCCCATTGAATAATAAATGTACCTATGTAAAGTCTTTTATTACTTCGGCACCCAAGGCTTTGTCTACTTATCTCTTTCCCTCCATTTCGTTATAACTCACTCGTCTCTTATCAGTCTGTTCCCAGTAAAGAGAACAAGTGTCTTATGCTATTCCGGGTCGCCCGTCGGTTGAATGTCATATTGACTATACTTTCTTTTTTTCTTTTTTTTTAAATTCAGCAACAGTCGTCCATTCTGAACATATCGAGCAGGTTTTATACCAGTTGGAAGAAGAAGATGGAAATATCTGGGCGGGATTGTCAAAAGTGCCAAAAGCGGATTATACAGGTTGCGAATTGCTGTGTCCCTCCTGATTTTTATCATAAGCTGTACTTATTATATAAAAAATATCAGGGATAAGGCAAATTTGAAAAAACACGCATTTTCTCCGTCAAGCTTTCGAAGATAAAATCCCCTTCAGCAGTATCAAAAATTACTTATAACACTGGAAATTATGGCTTCTGGAGAAAGATCTCGTCCACTCTTCAAAACTAAACTCATAAATTTATTACGGTTTGAGAAACATGTTTGTAATTCCTTCAACAACATTATGAAAAACATAGCTGCCAGATATGGTTTAAAAATAAAAACTTTCCCAGGAAATTATTATGGCAATGATTAGACAAGATTTGGCCACAATTGTCTGCCGGTACATGTCAGGAGAATTGGTGTTGTGGAGACCGCCCTTTGTCGGCGTAACCAAGTAGAAATTTCCGCCGTCGACCAGGGATCAGAAATTTCTGAGATAGAAGTACTTGCCGGTGTGCCACAAGGATCAATACTCGCTCCCTGGTTGTACACCATTTTTTATTTGATATAAAATAAATAATGTTGTAAAAACAAAAATCTGTACATATTATTTATCTTATTTGTTTACACATTTGATGAGCTGTCTTATGCTTCCTATTTTGCCCATAAAATCAGTTTTGAGTGATTTATGTTGTCCAACGGTAAAATTTCAGTTGTAGAAGACGTACATTTTTACGTTTTAATAAGCTTTTATTAATATCATTAACCAACTTATAAATTTGAGTCACCTATGAATTAAACTGATGTTCTTGCATAAAAATTAATTATTTGTTACAGTGACAAAAATTTAAAAATCTACCCCAAAAGTGAAATTTAGCATACTAGAAGCCGTTACAAAACACTTAAACTAACTTTACGTTGTAAGTTATTTTACGATTGCTTTAATAATAAAATCATTACACAGAAAACATGTAGCACATCAAAATTCGAGCCAACAATATAATTTATATACCGTGTATATATATATGTATATTTTGATCGTTTTCGATTTTTTCTGTTCTGATCTGTACCGATCTATTCTGTCGAACCTCCCTGGTTTGACCTATCAGTATCATTTTGATTGCTGTTTAATTGGCTCATTTTATTTCTCAAATTATTCTATTTTATTGATAGTATTTTTTTTAGTTACAATAACATCTCATGTGTTGCAGTTATTAAACTTGGTGGTAAGAGGAGAGTTGCCATGTTCGAAAGAGGAGGCTGCAGCCTTGGCCGGAATACAGCTGAGAATCCAGGAAACCTGGGGACGACCCCACAACCACGGTCCGATCTCGCCTGACGACAACACCCTCAAACCGATTTCAGAAGACAAGGTAATGAATTTTTACACTTATTTTAGGACACATTGGTAAACCGTCGTGTGATGTTGCTGCAGGAGAGTTTCCTTCTCCCCGTGCCCAACTTCGGCGGAGGAAACATGGTCCGCCCCGTCAGTCCGCTCGTAGAAGAAGCCGAAACAGAAGAGGGCGAGGGAAAAAGCACAGGTGAGAGGACGCCTCAAGGAGCGGTGACCGTCGCACCGCCCATCATCAGGGCACCGAGCCTTTTGAGGAAATGTTACCCGTCCAGCTCACAGCAAGTACCATTTATGCCCTCGGGCCACCTCGAAGACTGCCTCCCTCCATGCTATCATGGTACCAAAGCAATGGCCAAACTAGTCAAGGTAAGATATATAATATATATAATACATAATAATACATGTTCTTTGTCCGTTGTACGTAAGAAAGCGTAGCTCTTAGACGAAAAAAAGTTACAAATCCAGATGTTAACAAGTCTGAACACATGATTTACGCTCCATCATGAGACATGTCCTATTTAAACAACCAACCACTCCAATTTGATTGGACCCTGGAGATAGGAATAAATCGAATATTCCACAAACGATGTAAAATGTTTTGGTACTTATTGAACCAACTATCTGAAGGTGAAGCAGAACTAGTGGGCAGTGCAGAATGTCAAAATTTCTCCTTTCCTGTCGTTTTAAGAGACCAAGAAGCTACACAATATTGACTTATCCGCGATAGTCATGTACGCCATAAAAGCACAGTAGACCTACTTCCTTGACACGGTGCGGTGAAAGAAGGTCAAATCTCTCAGCCTACGTTGTTCGCCACATCGAAATTTATTAAATGATTGATTAAGCCGTAGGCTTATTGTAATTAAAATTTAAAACAATTAAAATAAAATAATTAACAAAAAAAAATGCATAACAAAAAGGAAAAATGAGAAAATCACTTGCCGATAGTAGCAATGTTTCACTCACCTTACAATTCGCTCCTGCAGGATAAGGAACACACTTACCTGACACAATGCTACGCCTTGTCCGGTTTTGGTAGGGTGTGCATATCTTTGCTACGTCAGGTACTCGCCACGAACAGTCACACAGCGTGTAACACAACAATCGTCACACTGCGTGTAACACAATAGTCAGTATCACAATCGCAATTGTTATTTAACCAATTGTTAACCCTAATTGTTATTTAAATACCCTACCAATTGTTATTTAACCCTAACCATCCCTAACCAATTGTTATTTAAATTTTATGAGCACAACCAGGTAATACATTAAAATAAAGTTTTCGGTATTTTATAAATTTTCTGCCTAACCATCATAATTAAATAATTCTTGTAAAATGTCATGAATTTTTGATCCCGTTTAATTTGGTTTACATTAAAATAAGCATGTTATAATAAATATAAGACAAAATTACATATACATAGTTCGAAATAAATACGTGTTCGGTATTCAGCGAGCTCGTCGTTTGTGGGAGGTAATCTTTTGCCCAAATGTGTTGCCAGATCTATTTTACGACACTTTGCCACTCAAATCACTCACTTGATTGAATCTGGAGCTTCTGTGTATTAAAAATCCTTAAGCGTCAATAGGCAATAACTTGCAAAATAAAATGTTATCTAATATAAATAATAAATATAAGAAAAAGACAGATAAGTTACGGCAAAAGTAAAACAAAGTTATTTTCTTATTTTAATAATAAAACTATCAAATAAAATTATAGTATTAGTTTTAAAATAAAAAAATTAATTAAACAAAGCAACAACTGAAGAGCTCTTCAATGAATTAAGAAAAGAAAGAAAAACTAAGTTAGAATAAAGATACAAAAAATATATTTCAAATTAACTAAAAATTCACTTGTGAGTACTCTTGATTTATAGATGCGATGTAGCGTTGCGGTTGTACGGGAAAGACTGATGAAGTCGGGTCCACTTATACTGCGATGCGGGAAGATGTCAGGCATGCGGTTGTCGTGTATCAAGAAGAAGGACACAACTGATTGTAGTGCGGCGGACGAATAATAATAATAACGCCCGTATTGCTAAACAGAACTTAAACTATCGGATTCACAATACAAAATAACTTATACAAAATATAGTAATAGCCTGAAACATCTAAATTTAAAGAAACGGAGTGTGTGCAGTCTTCTTGGCGGTTGTGACGCGACCGGTCCAGTTTACTGGACTTGACAAAAGGAAGGGCTGTTTCCATAGTAATGAAAAATACAAAACAAATCGCCGTAGTAACGGCGACCTGTAAACACTGGTGCCCATGTCAACCGAAAGCGTAAACATTTGGTTCCCATAGTAACGGGAGGCGTAAACATTCGTTCCCCGTGGCAACGAGATCAAACAAACTCTAACTTAAATTAAAAACAAAAATACAATTTAAATCCAGGCGTAAACAATACGAGTATCCGGTTCTGACGCTACTCGACGAAAATGGTGTAATTTTATGAGTAAAACCATGAAATAAATTGTTAGTTAAATTGTATGAACAAAACCATGTAATCAATTTGTTGGGTTAAATTTTATGAGCAAATCCATAAAATAAATTGTAGTTAAATTTCATGAGCAAAATCGTGTAATAAATTTCAGTTAAATTTTATGAGCAAATCCATGTAGTAAATTGTTAGTTAAATTTTATGAACAAAACCATGTAATCAATTTGTTGGGTTAAAATTTATGAACAAACCATGTAATAAATTGTTAATTAAATTTTTTGAACAAATCCATGAAATAAATTGTAGTTAAATTTCATGAGCAAAATCGTGTAATAAATTTCAGTTAAATTTTACGAGCAAATCCATGTAATAAATTGTTAGTGAAATTCATTCTATCAATAAATGGTATCACGTGTTTTGAATTAGAATTCCAATCTGCTGGTGTTATCACGCAGTCACATATGCAGGATGGTACAACAAAACAAGAAGAAGATTGAATGTTCATAGAAAAAATATTCTGTTGCTTATTGACCTTATTGGACATGATAGGTCAAACGTAAACATAGAACCAAAACAAAAAAGAAAAATAAATTCCCCCTCGACAATATTATAGCTAGTTAAAATATTATTTTTATGTATATTAATTATAGTAAAGAGGATGTCATGGAAAAATCCATGAAAGTGAGGAAAGTAAAGTCTGCGTGTCGACCTGATGCGAGTGTAACAGTGTAATCTTGTTGAAAAATGTAATTAGGCCATGTTAACATTAGTTAAGATGAGATGACATGATTATGTGTTTAAAAGCTTTTTGCTAGATTGAAACGCTTCGGTTGAAAAGGAAAAAAACGGTTGCCCCATTTGTACCACGGGGTCGTTCTACAATTGACTAAGTCCAAATTTACAAGCTAGTGAATATTTTAGCTGTTATCATTATTAATTTTTAAGAGCGTCACTACGGTCAATTCACGCCCTAGCATTTAAACCTTCTATCTTAGGTTAATTATATTCCTTCTGAATGCTATATAGTTCTGACTCAAAACATCCACTCATAAACTAATCTATCCTATTGCCATCCAAAGCTTTAGTTTATCCTTTTAAAATACTTAATTTGGAAGGCCAAATGCATGAAAAACACACATTCCAAATTATAATTTTTTTCCTGTTCTTGAATTACAATTTCGAATTTTTGTTCCATAATTTAAATATTTCCCATAGACTTCTATAGCCAATAATAGTTTTAATAATGGAGTCAGACTTGCAACAGTCTGAGCATGGTTATAGGCTCATCGTAATCGTTTTTCCTTCCATTCAAATTCTATAAATACACTAATGCTACTTGAAAATAATAATAAAATAAAAACACATTTTTTAAGAAGTATAAAAACTCCAGTGTTATTAGAAGTTAAACCTTGCAGTCTTGCAATGAAAAAAGTTTCTTCTTTTTTTAATTACATCATTCAGGGTTTCGGAGGGCACATGTTAGAGAAAACAGTCAACGCTAACACTCATTATGAGAGATTAAGAGGTGAGTATGACTTTTAAGCCATCGTCGTCTGAGGTAACGAGGCGGAGTCTAGGAAGGGAAACTTGTTGAGTCGGTTTGGGAAGTAAGGTTAGGATAGGTTAAGAGCTTCGTAAGACCGTTTTGGATGCGGGATCGAATCAATTTAGACCAAAGTAATTGGATGTGGGAGCCGTTTTCTAATTTACATTTAAACCTGGTACATTTTTGGACAGTTAGAATTGTCTACCATTGTTTGCACCAGTCTTGATAAGTTGATGGTGTTCCTGGATATTGGAGACTGCTTTGATAGGATTAGATGTAATGGTGGTGTTGCGATGCATAGGAAAATTAACAGTATAAACGGGATACACCAAGAATGCCTCCTTGTGAGACGCCGGCTTGTATTGATCTGTTAACTGAGCACTCGTTAAGGCACCCCGTTTTGACGCATAGATCAGTTAATTATGATTCCGGTATAAGACAATGAGGATAGGAAGCTTTTCCGTTTATAAAGATGCCTGAGAGACATATCCTATCAAAAGCTGGGGCCACAAACAGAAATGGTTGCAGGAATGTTGTGTTTTATGGTAAAAACAGATTTCGCTCCTAAAAGTCTTCATAGGTGTCCAAGTCTTGAGTTAGTTGTCTCTTGTCTTGTGTGGGGCTTCCACGTCAGTCTACTGCCTAGATATAGTCCTAAGTATCCGACATGAAGGAAGTCGGTAGCTCCTTTTTATTGACGTACAATGCAGGATGACGTGTCATTTTTCATTGGAAATGCAGTAAAGCTTGCATTTTTTTCTCATTTCCTGAATAACACTGACAATTATAATTCTGCTTCAGAAATTATATAGTAACAACGATTGAACTTACTCACTGAATTCATATTTTAATATCTTGAAACTGATTCGTGCGATCTTTCTCGAAAAGGGTAATATCTGCCGATTTTTCAGCCCTGCCAATCATGTTGAGACCATTGTTGGCTAGAAAACAGTACAAACATTATTAATTAAGAACTCGCATTGCTAGTTTTAATAAATGATTCACGAAAAAATAATGGTTAGACCAATGTCAGTTAAACATGAAAGGAATATGTCGTAAAATAAAACTAGCCTGAATGATGTATCGCTAATTTATAGGGAAATTTTCTCGAATAAAATCGAAGCGAAGAGTTAAAAGTATCTTTCCAAATATGTATGAAGAGTGTATTTAATTGTATCACACAGCACAACACTAGCACTAATGCCAGCATCTCACCGGTAGTACACATACTTTGCGGAGCCAGCCTTTACTGGCACTCAATGTTTATGATTAGGTGTCAAGGAGGTCCCGAGGCCATCGTCGGTTCAGGCGACGTGGCGGTTGTCAGGTTGGGAATGAGTGGAGAGGGCTCAAGCATGGTTAGGATGGTTCGAAAGGTTGGTGTAAAAGGTTTGGAATCTGAACCAGTTCGTTGACAAAATGAATGTTGAGGTCTTTGAGGATAGTGAGGTTAGTGACATAATTCGGTGACAATTGGAAGGACTGGATGCGCTGGATATTGGAAGGCTTGGCAGTAACCTACAGTTCCACTCCGTATGTTCATATTGGTCTTAATAATGTCTTGTGTTAGCTTTTTCTTAATTGTCAAAGTCGATTTCAGTCTTAGAAGTCTTCGTAGTAGTCCTAGTCATGTATTATGTTTTTTGTTTTTTTTTTGAATTTTTAAGTTGGGATTCCACGACAGTCTGCTGTCGAAATACAATCCTAGGTATTTGACTTGAGTGGAAACTGGTATCTCTTTGTAGTTAATGTACAATGGAGGGCAAGGCTGCTTTTTCAGCATAAAAGTACACTGAGTGCATTTTTCTTCGTTCAGTCTTGTCTTTCATTTTTTATATCAGTCTTCGATAAACACAAGGTGTTCCTGAAGGTAGCGTGGACAGGATTCGAGTTAGAGGATAGGATTGCGGTGACGTCCGCGTAGGTGGTGATAATAGTGTCAGGATGCAGTGGTAGGTCAGCAGTATAAATGATATATAGGATAGGATCAAGGATACTACCTTGCGGTACACGCGCCTGTGTCTGTTTGAGTTCTGAGAATTCATTGCCGCACCTCACTCTGAAACAGCGATCAGTTAGGAAGGATTTCAATAAAAGGTAATAATGACAGATTAGGAAGCGCTTAGGTTTAAAAAGTATGCTTGGATGCCAGACCCTGTCGAGAGTCTGTGCTACATCTAAGAACGCGTCCAGGCATAATTCCTTTTTTTCTAGGGCCGATGAGATGGTGTCGACTACTCTAAAACATTGTTGGATAGTGGAATGTTGAGAACGGAAACCGAATTGGTGAGAGGAATGATTTTATAGGTGTCAAGAATTGGTACTAAGCGTTTTAAAAGGAGTCGTTCTAGAATTTGGGACATTGCGAGAAGCAGGCTAATAGGTCTGTAGGATGAGATCTGGTTAGGGGGTTGTGAGCTTTAGGGATGAGAATAATGACGGAATAGGAGAGGGAAGTGAGGGGTTCGTAGGATTGCATTATATATTGCGGTTAAAAATAGGACGGCCTTGTGTGGGAGATTTCGCAGCATACTGGAGGTGATTAGACCATGGCCAGAGTATTTTCTGCGTGGAGATTTGTGGATACGGTATTTACTTCAGAACGATGAAAAGGTTTCGGAGGGTGATGGAGAGGAAGTGGTATGTTAAGGTATTGCATTACTTGTTGGGAGTGGGGGGGGGCTAAAAAATATATACATTCCAAAAATAAACAAGTAAGATAAAGAAATAATTTTATTACATTTTCTGTTAACTAGCGTCTCTAAGTTGCGCTAGTTGGAGGGGCTTCGTCTATTGTTGGCTCAGGGGGATTTACTTGGCGGGCAAAGTTATAGATTACAATTGCAGCAAGGATGCAACACATAATCTCTAAACACAGTATTGTCAAACAGAGCCCCCCGATGACCTTGAATTTCTTTTCAACCTGTTTCACTATGGCGCTATAGCAGGGTGTTTGATATGCCGTATCCTTATTGCAGTCTTGTGGGCTGACTGGGCAACAAGAGTCCGGGAGTTTTTTAACGTCCCACTCCGCCAAACCAAATGCGCTGCAGCATTCGAACATCTCTTGCACCTCGTCGATGTTTTTTTCGTAATTTTCACTGTCGTTATACCACGTACTCAATCGATCCTTCATTTCCTTTTCTACCACAGGGTACATGGCAAATGTCAGAATACCTAGAATGATTTTCAAAATCGCCAGACATATAAGAAGGGTGATGTATGTCTGAAGATACGACTTGTTTTTCTTTATAATTCCGGCTGCCCCGAAGGCACCGACTGCCACCATAATGAATGCTCCGATGACAACACAACAGGAAATAACCAGCAGTTGACTATGGATCACGCCTCTTATTTGTCCTCCGTACACCGAGGAAATGATGCCGATTATTAATAAATTCAAGCCAAAAACTGCACACACGAGGTTAACTGTTAGAAGTATTAGCCTAATAATATACAATACTGTCCTTCCACACTGTACCATATTTGAAACTAGTTTACGAAAATTCAATAACTACAAATAATTTGGTTTCATTTTCGTATTAAACATCACGTAATCATATCTACTAAAAATACTCAATAAAACAATGTCACATGAAAAAGTGATCACATGTTAGTTATTTAAACTTGTATAAGGAAAATTTGAGTCTTTGAGCTTGAAATTTAGCATTTATACCACTGTCGAGGTTTTGTTAAAAGAAGAAGATGATCTGTCTGCATCTTCTTCTTTTAACAAAACCTCGACAGTGGTATAAATGCTAAATTTCAAGCTCAAAGACTCAAATTTTCCTTATACAAGTTTAAATAACTAACATGCTCTGTTGCTTCACCACTGATCACGATGTTCGATCGCCAGAGGCCTCAACTCCTCATGTCAATCCATTGTTGTAATTCCCTCTTTTTTAGCAAATGTTCGAATATCGCGGCATCATATTCTATGTGTTATACTAGTCAATATTCGAATATTGTCGGAAAAAGAGAGCCATTTAAATATTTGTAGGTTGAGAAGAAGGTTGTTGTTTGGGGGACCGAACCTCAAGATAACAACACAGTGTTTGCTCGAATTTCGGGGATTGCGTCTCGCTCGTGATACTAATTTTTCATCTCAACCTTTCTTGCATAAAAATTAATATATAGAAAAATGAAAAAAATTAAAGAAAAAATTTGATTAATTAAATTAAATTAATAAATCATCTACACTCGATGGCACGGTAAAATATAATAAGCTTAAATGCACATAGAAAAAATATTCTGTAGCTTAATGACCTTCTTGGACGTGAAAGGTAAAAAATACATAGACCAAAAACAAAACTTAAAAATAAATTCCGTCTCCACTATCTTTTAGATAACTAAATTAACTTTTAGGTACATTATAGTAAACAGGATGTCATGGAAAATCCATGAAATCGGGGAAAGTCTGCGTGTCTACCTTTTGCGAGTGTAACAGTGTAATATTGTTGAAAAATGTAATTAGGCCATGTTAACATTAGGTAACAAAAAAGACAATTTGATTAAGATAATGAAATAACAGAATTAAATAAGTCCTAATCCTTTTTGAAATATACTCCGTGTAATATATACTAGTTTATAAAATCAACAAAAATGAGATATCATAAGTGCGGGAGTTGCACGGAAGAAGTGGTAAGGATTGGCAAGGCACAGCGAATGCGGGTTGGAAGATCGGAAATTCTAAATTAGGACGGACTCGTCAGAAAATTTAGCAAGTTCAATTCTAAAATCATTAGGAATATTATATTCATACATCAGCAAAGGATGGCTCAAGACAGTTCCGTGTCGAATGATAAACCACATTATGAACAGTTCTTCATTGAAGATGGCGCAATGCTGAAACGCGCTTAAACGAAACTTCATCCGTTCTATCAGCTCCTTGAAAAATTCGTTGATAACAATACTTTATCAATATATTATGAATAGGAAGAACGCGTGTTTACATGTGAAATGTTACATGATGAATATTTCACTTATATTATCACCGTTGCATTATTTCATTTTTTTACTAACTGTGTCCCGGTTCTTAGGCCTGACTGGTTTGCATCCAGGGACTCCAAACTTTTCGTTTGCGTTAATTATCATATAACTTATTATATAATGAATTAATATATTAATTATCACACAATTTATTAAGTTAGGGGGAATCGATTTTTAATCAAATAAATGGACATCATGTTTCTTTCGCTTTTTCATTCTCTCTCTCTCTCTCACTCACTCTCTCTCTCTCTCTCTCTCTCTCACTCTCTCTCTCTCTCTCACTCATGAGAACATATCTGAACTTCTTAAGATTTATTTATTTTTTTTTTATTTCATTTTGTAACATATTGTTCTACTTTAAATTCATTATTTCGATTCTTGGTCGTAATGTATATTGCTATTTGATAGTTATTTAATATTTGTTTAAATAGCTGGTATGTATCCGGTACATTGTTTAAGTTTCGTTGTATGTATTTTAATTTTTTCATTTTTTATAACTAATTATACGTATTCATTTTGGGTTATGGTTCTATTGCTCAGGGAGTGTTTTTATATTTGTATTGCTTGTTGTTTTTGTCGTGAAGAGAGCTTGTTCCCAGGACATAATTAACTTTTCTTTTTTTCTTTCTCTCCCTCTCTTTATATATACGTTTAATCATACTTTCTTACACACTCTATCTATTTTTCTCGTTAGCTTTTTCATACTTTTTCTCTCTGTATTCTCTCCTGGCACTCGCAAGCGCACACATACTCGGAGAGTTAATATCTCATTTATGAATTGTATGGGTCAAATTTGTGCTATGTATTGTTTTCCTTTCGTAATATTTCACTTAAAAATAAAACAAAAGGGTCAAAAATTTCTCAACTCACATCTCGGCCAATATTGGCGTTGATATGGAGTCGAGTCTAAAATAGTTATAATGCTTTTAGCAAGGAAGCCTACCTTTTAATGAGGTTCCAATACGTTGTTAAACGTTTGTTTTAGGCCCTCTTCCATACAAGTCGACGTCATTCTGTCGGCCGTTCCTTTATTGAAAGGTAATTGAAAGGTAAAGTTGTTGTACGCGGGGGATGGGATGCCGTTAGGGTTGGCGGCGGTGTGGTATGAGGGGCAAGGCTTTTAACGAAAGCTTCCCTTGTCACACGAGACGGTTCTGATTCAGTTTATGTTGGGCATTTTGCGTTCCCAGATCGAGTTATGGAGGCGACATGGGTAGAGTAATGCAGTTATCCCCTTCGGCCCGTTGTCCCTACCGCCTAAGACCCGGCAGACAGTAGCTTCCTTTAAAAAACAAACGTCATAAATAGCTATAATTCAAGTTTAGGTAGACGCGGTCGACAGCAGTCACATTTTTCCTTCCTTCAAAGTCAGCCATGTTACATTATTGTTGCAATTGGTCGAAAATGAATAAAATTCTAGTATTCTTTTCTTAGAAATTTTAAATTTTTAACAACAAACAAATTTTTATTTGTATAAAAAAGTAGACGTAATTTGTGTAATTTTGGAGCAAATGGTTGAAAGCTTTTCTTTTGTGTTCAATTATAGGGAGGATAAATTGGGCAGTCCCAAATGGAGAAACGAATAAATCAAAACCGTAATTTTTCGGTCCAAACTGATTAAATTGGGAATAACAATTTGAGCCGGGGGGGGGTCATGATTTGTATACGTATAAGAACGCCGGATCATCGGTATTCTCCCACATCCTATTGGAACATGTCAAAACGGGGATTAGCCTGACAAAGAAGGCTGTCGCGTTGGATTGGAAATCCTGTGCCAATCCCGCCGGTAAATTCGGGGCGCACATCGAACGGACCGGGGAAAGTAAGGAAGGGTGAGGACATCTCACAGGTGACGGGTTCGCCAAAGTGCTCAGAGATGTGTGAAGACGAAGCGTGCGGATGGGTACGCGGCGTTATGTACAGTCGGTTACCTACACGTTGGTTTATCCACGCCGGATTTACCATAGCCTTATATCTTTTCATCTCTTCACATCTCGATGCGTTCAGCTCATAATCTCCACCCCTTAACTATCGCTTTCCTGCCTCCAAAAATACACTCCAACCCTTTGAACATTTAGTAACGCCTCCTTCTTGAAAGGATATATGGCAACCTTGACATTTTTAGGAGGATCAACTTAAAAAAAATTGTCTTAAAATCGAGAAATAATTTCAGCAGGCAATCATAAGTCTTACTACTTCTACCGATGATAGTTTTGAAAGGTATGAATTTTTAAACTTAAAAAAAAAATACTCGCATAAAATGTATATAATATATGTAATAACCAATTAACATGAAATAGAACTGTAAATGAAACATTAAATTGATAGAAATTTAAATTCGATTTTAAATTTTAAATGTAAATTAATTCAACGCTTCATTTCGTGTATATGTTGGTGGATTAATTGTCATAAAAATTACCAACAAATTATATCACAATTGTATATTTTATGAAAGGATAATCAAAATTTTTTTCTTGAACTTGCAAAGACAATTAACTAATTACTAATTCATCTACATTGCATTATCATTTTAATTTGATTATACCATTACAAATTAAAGATATTATTTTATTATTCCTTTCCATTTTTAAATTCTTATAGCATTTTACAGAAAAAAAAGGAAAATAGAATTGATTAGAAAAATTGTACATTTAACATATGATAGTAATGTAAATTTACAAAAAGATAGAGAAGTGATATGTGTAAAATATCGAAATACACTGAAACCTGTTGCGATGGAGAGTCATGATGTCACAACTTATGTGATCTTTGGGGTGGTGTCCTACTAAATGGAGATTTTTAACATCTGATAATATATTATACGTACAGATTTCACATGAGGTGTTGATTTACATGTTCATTTTTTATTCACTGCGATCTATAATAATATCTCCTCCTAGTGTTTTGCTAGGCTTACATTCATCAGTTAATTTTTTTGTACACTAGGTCTCCCAAAATTTTCTTATCGTAAGAATCAATGACATATTTTCATTATTTTAAAGATGGTTCCGGTGGTTTTCGAACGCCGTGCCGAGATCTTTATGCGGAGAGCGTATTGTAGTATAGTCAACAAAAATGATTCTTGGAAGTTTATAATAGATATATCGTGTAAAGTAGAGATCTGAGAATGCACCCTTGTAGGGCGCCAGCTTTGATAGGATAGATCGGGGATATTGTTGTCCTATCGGAATTTGTTATTGACTAAAATTGGCCAATTCACAATAGTTCAGTATTTAATGCCGATATTTCTGTAGGTTGCGTGTTTGTTCTTATTTCGTGATAATACGTAAATACAAAAAG